AAAACATCAGTAATATAAAGCATAAAAGACAGAAGCATTGTAAGTAGTGTGAATAATTTCACATTGAAAATGAGAGCCATCAAAAGTACAAAGAGGAAAAAAAGATGCCTTGAAAACATCTTAAGATTAAAAAGAACTGTGCATTTTCTATTAAAAAAATCTTTTCAAAGCCATAGTTAAATAAACAAGCAAAAAGAACACATACACATCCTTGGCTAGTGTCTACTTTTTTGTTCTCTAAAAAGTACAAATGGTTTTGATTACTTAGAAGGGAGTATTCCTTCAATGAGTCAGCTTGCAAGACCAGGGCTGAGCAGCAGAACAGACACCAAGAGAGCAGGGTGGCCCAGCCCTGCGGTACAAACACTGGGTACATCATTAAACTCCAGTGACAAAAGCACTGTCACCTGCAGCATCCTGCCCTCAGACAGCACAGCCCCCCAGTTCCACACCCTGTGATCACACATGTTAGATGTAAGTGAAGATGCATTAACGACTCAAGAGGAGCCTCCTGATCTGATAACAGAGGAAAGAGTGCTGTTTCCCTACAGTTACTTCTGGCTTTATATAATCTCACTGCAGCAACAGTTACACTAATGTTGCATAACAGTTTTTCAGAAAAAAAGACACGTTTGAGTGTAGGTATATTTTTAGAGTGGCTACAGGTAGACCCTTTATTGCTGCTAACTTTAGATACAAACATCTGACTCAGCATCTCATAACGGAATACCATCAATATCATCCTGAAGTCCTGACCCTCTCGCTAACCATTTTTGGGGGCTACTGCACAGCAAAACAGCATCTGTCAGGTCACTGGTAAAGTGTTTTCAGCACTGATAGACACAACACTTGACAGTTGAGAGTAATCTTCAAAAGCCTGAAATATGTGAACTGCAGTTTCTCTGTGAAACTGCACACAATGCACAGGGGAGGGCCAGCCAGAAAGCCCTGGATGCGGTACTTCCAGCTGCATGTTTCTGCAGGATTTCTTTTCATGTTTAAGAAATATTTTGTAGCTACAAAAACCTCTTTCTGCTGGCAGGAAGGCACCTCTACTGCTTGCTATCTGTTGCTGTTACGGATATTAGAAAGATGCTGAATTTTGTGGGAATAAAAGACTATGCTGAAAGCCATTTCAAACTTGTCCTTCATGCAGCGGCTAGCCTGATGGAAAAAACAACAGTGAGAAGTCCTGAGGACTGCTGTGAGGCACATCCAGGATCCACACCTACTTCTCGCTTTGGCTCTGCTGTGCCCATTTCACATTCCCATTACACTGCAAATAATGTGGTCAGCTGCAATTTAGGAAAGTCTCTGGCAAACCATAAGACACGCTCGTGGAATAAATGCTTTGCCAATATACATAAATACATGTGTGCACAGAAGTCTGCCTAGAAATGTAGTTAGATTTCCTGAAAACTCCTAAAATCTAGGAGATCTCAGTCTCCATTCACTCCTGCAGCTCCTCTTGAGACAAGTTACTGTGCTCTGTTGTCAGTGGTTGCTCACTTCTGAATTTGGTTTAAAGAGCTCCTAGCGCAGACTTAATGAAGTTTCTTCTGAAAGGCCAATTGTATTTCCTTCTGTCTTTTTGACAAAACTCATTTAAAATGGGCCTTTCATTTCATTATCTGCTCTTCATTTTTGTGAGTTTTATTCCTCAGTTGGACTAAATGTTACAGTTGGAATTGTGCCTGTAAACAAAGGGCTTATTTTACAAGGTTTCTGAATCCTATCTTTTACAATTGGACAGGGAAGGGAGAGCTCTGCAGTGCAGGCTCCAAGGCTTGCTGCAGGACACGTGCAGTGTGAGCACAAGGCACAGGAGTTCACAGGGTGAATGTGGGGACTACTCAGGCAGGTAAGTGCCTCATACAAACGTTAGACCTGAAATGTGCCTAACTCCTCATCAGTGGCTGAACTTAATTCTCTTTCAGCTCCTGTGCCTGAGAAGAATGACATCACAAGCAACACGTAGCAATCCCATAAGTACCTCATGGAACCAGGAAAATTCCCCATCTCTGGAGAATCAAAACAGCTTCTGAGCCACTTTCCCCCCACCCCCCCTCCCACAAGTGTGTGGAGCAGCAGCAGTGTTCTCAACATGCCACAGAGGAGTTCTATTCACTTAGCATCCTGTGGAAGATAAAGACCTGACAGCTCTCCACAGCACAGCTGTGCCCTTTTGCACCCCCAGGCAGGGAAACCACAATCAGCTGCCTACTTCCACACCTTTCAGTCCTACCTCAAAATTTACTTCAGAGCATTTAAGACTGAAAATACGAAAACTCTGCAAAGGAGGCAGGCACAGCCATAAATGTAAAGGGGCCTCACTGACTATCAATCAGTAGAGCTCAACTGAAATCAATATAAAGCCACAGTTTAGCCTAACACAGAACCAGCAGAGACATGGGCCTACTGGTCAACACTGAGCTCTGCCTGTGGTCGTATGCCAACAGTAAGCAGAAGCTATCCCAGTCTTATTTACTCTAGTTGGCAACTTCCCTTAGAAGAGACTTAAATTCAGCAGCATACAGGCCAGCAGAGCTTTTTACTCTGCCCATAACTGCCAGAGCTGGAGCCAGCAGCTGCTGCAAAATTAGCTGGAAGAGAGCTGGTCTGAACATGCGAGGACAAGAAAGGGGAACAGCCTACTGGTTAACATCTATAGAAGAGCTTGGAAGCCACTGACACGGACTAATTGCTTACTGCAGAGTGAATTTCCCACTCTGTAAGCTCATTTGATATAAACTTCCTAGTTACATCCAAAACCCTTCCTGCAGGACTGATGTTAGTACATAAACTGCTTAGCCAAGCCCTGTTCAGTGCTCTGGGAAACACTCTGGGGAACCGGGATGCAAGAGAAAGGAATAGATAACTTGAGCATCGTCTTCAATGTGCCTGACTAGAAAAAAACATCTGCTTGACATTTGGGCTCTGCTATCCACCATTTATTCCTGAAATTACTGTGTCTTCCCCATTTCTCGATTTGCCTTTTTCTTCCCTAATGCAACCCTGTGAACATTGCCTTCAGCACAACATTCACCTTTGGCACATGCCCATGTCATCCTGCTCTGATGCACTCGCTGTGCAGCTCAGTGGGATAGAGCTGCTCCTCCCTGCAGCATGGGCTTCAAAGGGGCTCAGGAGGCTACCAGGCCTCCAGCCTCTTCCATCGTGGCCTTGTTCTGATGTAGGTTACACAGAACCCACGCAGCCAGGTCACGCTGTACCTACACTGTTAGCTTACGCTTGTATTTCGCGTCATGAAAGCTTCAACAAGAACTCATGTCTTGCAGCTGGAATAGCTGGTGCCAAACCACTTGCCCCCTGGAATGACATTTTAAGTTACTCAGATCAAATGGCAGCATGACTAAGCATGCTGAGAAAATATTAAATCTTCACCTGGTTTCTTGACAAGCACTGGTAAATACATCATTTCCATCTTTTCCATCTCCTAGTTTACTCCTTTTGTCAGCAACAGTGACAAAAAAAGGTTCTAATTAGACAGAGCTGATCAGGTGGAATGGCACACTGTTGATGATCAAGAAGTCACTAACTTCTCTAAAAACAGGTTGGCTATTTTTCTCATGGAAGCGGGAGATTTATCAATAGACAAAAGGATGCAAAATCCAACAGGAAAGGTATAATTACACATCAGGACTATACGCTTTATTATGACACAAATCTAAAAGGATTAGTGGGTGGTAAAAGGTCTTCTGGAGGGGTGAACAAATGATGTTACTCATAAAGGAAGAACTGCACCAGTACAAAAATAGAATTAGGAAGAATGTTGTATGCATAAATGAGATTTTGTTACTTTTGGTGGGTAGGACTCATTTTTTTGTTTTGGTAGATTTGTTTGTGTGTATTTTTCTGTTTTTGTTTTTAAGGCAAAAGACTGGTTAAAAAGTCTAGTAACTCAAATAAACGAGTTATTACATATATGACAACTGATTAATTCCACTACTTTTGTTTTTCTCAAACATTTTGATTTAACTACCAGCAATGAAGATTCCAAATACAATTTTCAGCAACAGAAACAAAATAAACCTGCCAAGCAGCACTTAACGTACAATATTTTATTGCAAGTCAACACATAAGAATAGCCCATTCATTTCAACACAAAAGTTATCTTCCACTGTTTGGAGGCTTAAAACCTAAATGAGTTGCTTTAAGCTGAAGCACAGAATTAACTCTTAAAATATCTGTGCATTTGATGATAACCTCAAAGTTCTAAACAGAAAGCAGAGCTTGTCCTACATTACTAAAATGCTTAGAAGAATTTCACTTGTATGATCTCATTCACAAGTGAAGCAGCTTATATTCAGGATCTGATAAATAAAATGCAACATTGGTATTTTGTGTATTAGTGGAAAAAAGTTGCAACTTCACCTATAATCATTCACTTCCAGTGAAATTCCATGGTCTGCATAAAAGCACAGTTCCTTAACGTTTCATAAGAGCTCTTGTAAGAGCAACAGGACAAATAACGCAATGCCTCCTACATCTGACCTTCTCAGCATCACACACCCTGGTGCATTACTGCACTGACAGTTCTCACTGTCCTTACTACACTCTACTGTGATAACACACATGCAGATAATTAACTGTAAAATTTCCAGTGTCTCGTCACCTGGATGTGTCAATCCAACCCTTACAGTTTTCCTACAAGATTCAGTGCAAGCAAACTGTAAACTTGGAAAGACGCTGTTTAGACAGAAAGTAAAGTTCACGGGGGTATGCCACTGCAGGGCTACGTTAAGAGACTTAAAACATACACAGAAGGAGCAGAGTTACAAGGAAAACTTTGCAGGTAACTGACAGAAACGCAGGAAAAGAATGGATTACTGTAGAGGAAGTCACAAGGAGGTCAGCAGAAAATACACTGTAAATTAAGGCTCAGAAATCCTATTTCTGAGCATAGTAGTAACAAAAAGCAAAGAAATTTTAGTTCTGGAGATATTTCATGTTTCACTGCTCTGAAGAATCCAACTCACCCGAGTATGCCCAGTAAGGATCCCCCGAAGCCTTTCGCCTCCGTATCTGCACAGAACTACCATGTCTGTTTTCATGCAGAGAGCCAACATAACCTTCGGTCAGAGCTGGGAAGAGAAAAGTAGGAATCGTTAGGAAAGTGGTCTTTACTCCCAGGAAGTTTACATTGCAAAGCTTAAATCTTCGCTGAGCAGAAACTACAAAGTTGGCACCGCTTAAAGAAAATTAGCGGTGTGCTCCTCATCCATGGAGGCCCAATGCTCAAAGATGATTCAGAGAAGGTAGGACTCACCAATGCCTTTATTCTTATCTAGCACGTACCAGTCTAACTTCAGTACTATCCATAAGGATATTCTGATATACACAAGTAAACAAAAGGCAAGATGTGACTGATTTTCCTCTGACTTCAAGATGGCCATTCGGAAAACAAGCTAACAAACTAGTAAACCTACACAGAAATGACCAAGATCCTTGAAAGACTATAAATGGAGAAGCACGTTATCCTTACTATCACAACTTTGTTTTAATTCATTTAGAACAGCCTCATTCAGGAGGGAACAAATCTCTACATATAGCCTGCAGACCTGAGCCCACAGCACACGGGGTAACAGCCTGAACACGAGCAGGGCTCCAGAAACATCGCCTCACAGGATTCATCCAAGCAAAGCAGACACACAGTGCTGCCTTCCAGCCAGAGCAACGCTGCGTGTGTCAGATGAATATCCAGCATGCAACACCAACGCCTTCTGACATAAAAGGGAGAGGCCAGCAAAGAAGGAATCCTTGTAAAACTTCACAAGCTAGAAGGAATTAAATTTAGCAACCAAAACATAAAGAACACATCCTACACTGAAACCCAATAATTTTTCTTGTGAAGAAATATGTAACTTTCACAAGGAAGTGCTTTGTTGTTGTTGTTGTTGTTGTTGTTTTTTTTTTGGGGGGGGGGGGGGAAATGGGGGTAAGGGTGGGTGGTAAGGAAGGTTCGCATGCAAGTTTTATTCAGTATTTCTGTACATCTCACGGAACCCAGTGGGAGGTGCGTGACTACACAAATATCAATAACAAATCTACAATAAATTCAATCTTTCTCCAACATCACAACTGGAAATTCCCATGCTCTAATAAATACACCACCAAATAAACCCATATGCAAAATGTGAATAACAGGCACATGCTACATGACTCAATGGCAATTTAAGTCCAACTGATCATTTATTTGATCAGTAACTAGTTTAATTATTGAAAGCAAAACTTTAGAAAACTGCCCAAAGCATCTCTACCCACATACAGTCACCAAGCTTCAGATTCCCATCTGCTCCCAGGCCAACTACAGCTGGTAGCAGACCTTTACCGAATGTCAACCCTGAGATCTCCAGAACTTTGCAGATGCTTCTGGTTATCACACCCTTTGGTGCCACAGCAGCAGAGAACAAACTGCAGCCAACAGGTACTACATAGACAACCTGCAATCTTCAGCAAGGGTCGTGCATTCCTGCAGGTTTTGGAATGCTGAAATGGTAAGAAAAGCCATGCAATCCCAGGAAAGGCACTGCAGGTCTGCTCTCATCAATTTCTTCCCTTGTGTGAACAAAGGCACTAATTGTGCCATTTATTACGAGTCTCTGATTTGAATGAGTTTTCCAAATTTCTTGGCAACTTTCCAAATGCTAATTCACTCCAGGCTGAACTAGAAACACTGGAACATGCACTATGAGGGTTTGTAGGCAGCTCTACACCACACACCTTATTTTCTCTTCTGATTTACCCCAATATGCCTACCTGGTTGGGAGGCAACAGACATTTGCATCAACTGGAAGGAACAGATGAGAGATACAGAGACCCAAACTGTTTTGGCAAAACGAACAAACAAGCAAACACCACAGACCATGAACAGCTAAGGAATGGAACACAGAACTAACCCGGGAGAGTGGCTGGAAAGGCTATCAGGAAAAACTAGCCCCATTACTCAAGAAGAGAAAAATCTTGTATCCTGGAAAAAATATCTTAAGTCCCTCTTTACTACTAAAAGAGAGAAGCAACTCTTCCCTGAGCATCCTCTACACAGAGGGAGCACATAATTGTGGGTTCATCCCCCATTCCCCCTGCAAAAGCTATGATTCCTGCAGGTAGGAGGACGATATCACCCTGCCACCTCCAAGGAGGAAGCTGCTCTTGTGGCTCTGTCTCAGTGAGCCCTGCTGTGTGCTTTGCCATCCAAAGAAAGGAACTCATTCAAATCATCTGTATGTGTTGAAAGGAGAAAGGCTTTGAGTCAGTGCAAAGCATCCAAAACTGTGAAGCCCTTTGTAATCCTGGCTTGCACTGTCAAAGAGCCATACGTCAACCATGGAACAAGCTATGAATCATACTGTTGATCTGCAGTATTTTCTGTGCAGAAAATTAAATTATGCAAATCCAGGCTTTTATGAATGCCTTACTTCAATGTGAAATTGAACATTTGCTTTAGTCAGCATTATATTTACACAATTAAAAACCTGATATTCTAGTAAATACATGCATTTTCAGTTTTCTGTATGTATACAATAGATTTGTACATTTATCTACACTCATAAATAGTGAAGGGTCATGTTATACACAGGTTTAATTATACCAAAGCACAAAGCAAAAGGACAGCTCAAGCACTTGTCAAGAGAACTGTACGTGAGAACTTGCTGGTTGTGCTGCTAAACATCTTCTGCAGGACTGAACATGAAACAAACTGGATCACACTGTTCTAAATAAAGCCCTGCAACGATGGTAGGCAGCCCAATGGTAATGACAACAGTCTCCTAATAGACGTGCAGTAATTCAGCAGCCATTAGCCATGTAGAGAAGATAGAGGTCGACTGGATAACTGCAGAAACTCTAAGAAAAGGATGACAGGTGAAGACCCTGGCCATGCAGTGAATTGGGAAGGTAATGGTGTCTTTGACATAGAAAACGCAATGTTCTCCTCCCAGCTCCTCAGCCTGCCTGCAGTATGGCCATGTACCCTGCACAGGGCGATGTGAGCAAGGAGAAAACACTGCAGGAACAAGCAGCTATTGTTGGCAATATCTCACGCTGATAAGGCTATCAGGAAAAGGCAGGCTCAATCTTGAGGAGCTTTTGTTGTTTGCTATCAGCTGGGGTCAGGGGATTTGGAGGTGTGAGGTATACAACACAGCATGCAGGAGATTTTCAGATTCACCTGTTGTGGAAAAACTGAAAATACATTTGCCTGAACCCCAACTTGCCCTTCATTTCTACCTTAAACAGCCAAAAGCTTGGAAGAGAAGCATCACAATCAAATTATTAAAAAAATGCTTTTTTACATGTCAGACATTTTACTTTTTCCAGGTTTCGGGGGGTAACCAGGAATGGACCTTTTGATCAAGGCAACCCAATGACACCAGTGAAAAGGTAACAGGCATTCAAGCACTGCTGAATCTTCCTCTTTCACTGGAGAAAACATCCAGCTAAAGGTTTTACTCCAGTCATTAGAGTACATGCATTCATTTTTGTGCATCATTCCAATTCTACCCTTTCAGAAGTTATACGTGGAAGTAATTGACAAACTCGACCGATATCTTTTGCTTGTATAATATGAGAACAAGTACTAGAAAAAGTACTTAAGAGTTAAGTTATTAATGCTCCTCACTGCGGGTTTCCATGAGACTTTCTCAGCTGGGAGACAGTTAACAGCTCAGGAACAGAGCAGCCAAGTGATTTCCTGCTCCACTCTCACAGAACTGGAGACTGGAGAACAGCCAGCAATTAGATGGGCTGGTCCAGCACGGAGCAAACACAAGGAGTCTCTGATCTTCTGGGAACCCTGCAAAAGTGGGGGAAGTGGAAATCGGGACAATAGGAGGGGAGGAACATGCTGTTGGAAGACTCAAAATGGAGCATCTAAACTAGACGGATGGGGAGGGGAGAGAAATACACAGCAGGAGACAGGAGGAAAAAGGAGAGCAGGAGACCTTACCCTGCAAGGTTTGATTTGATACAACGTGCCAGTGCTGCGGGCAGAGGAGCAGGGAATGCCATAATATATGGTCTGAGACTTGCAAATATACAGTTAAAAAAAAAAAAAGGGGGACCAATCTGACGCTCAGATACACAAGCGTGAAATTAAATCCCAAGCAAGTCCTCTGGCTGCTGGTGCAGCGCCGGTGCCCATGGCGTGTGACACCTGCCGTCGGTGCGGCTGCGCGGGTGCCATCGCAGTGACTTCTGCAGGGAACAGGGGATCCTTCACAGCTAGCATGGAGAAATCTCTTGCACACAGTTTCATATAATTTTTATCGGTACTCAACGCTACACGATTTTAGATGATGTGCTAAATTAATCAAGCCCTACTGCATATCTGCAGACAGCAAAGCAATGCGATGCTGGGACATTCCTTAGCATTCTGATCAGCTTCCCATTCGCACTGTCTCAATATATTAAGTTTCCAATAAAAATTATTTGATAAGTGCCCTCAAAGGCATGGTTAGGTAATTCCTGCTTGAATACCTTACTGGTATTCATAGTTCACATGAACACACAAAATTTTATCCCCAATCTACCTTAAATATAAAGCTATTATGCTATTCACAGAGATTATACCCTGGGCATTAGTGTTTAAAAGGTATCAAGCCACGGGCTGTGTAAGAAAAACTCTTTTTAAGATCAATACTTCATTTCTGAATGGCAAAATCATTAGTTACAACAGTAGTTTAACAAGAGAGTGTACCAGACTCAGATTCATTTAAGCCTTCTCTGAAGGGTTGCACCCAAATTTGTTTTCAGCTGCTCTGATTACAGCAGTGCAGAGTCAATGGCACACGCACAGCCCACCCAGCTCACGCTCTGGCTGTGGGCTACCCTGCAGCTGAGTCTGCCATAGCCCACGTCCATGATGGGGACACTTGGAGTGATGTGCTTCAACCTGGTCCTACTGCTGGAAAACTGGCATGTCTTTGGAGAAGGAGATTTGGAATCTGGAGAGCTGTTAACTCCTGAAAACTCTTCAGATGGGAAGGAAAAGTGTTGGTGGCATTTAGGCAAAAAGCACTAAATAGTAAGGAATGCCAGCAATTAGTTCCTTATCAACTTGATTCTTATGAAAGAAACTTGTTCA